TTCTTACTTATAAAATGAAATGTTTTCATAAGTGGCGAAGTGGGAAAAAAGATTCCTAGAAAAACTTACATTCTGCTTGCGTAATATATTACTGTTGAAAATGGGTAAAAACCGAACCGCCAAAACTATACAGTGAGAATAGACGACAAACATTCTCGTTTAATCAATTTATCTTTATTCGACTATGTATACATCTTGTGTTTTTCAGGCGAGACACTTTTTGATAAAATTTGACCTAGAAGCGGTGTAGTAGCGATACATTTTAACGACAGGACTCCATCAGATACAACCATGCAATAAACTAACAGTTCGTCAAATACTGTAAGTATCAAGCCATGGCTAGTAATAAATAGGACAACAAATTTGATATTTTATAAAAATCATCAATAGCTCCTCTATAAACACCACCAAGAATTGCATAAGTTTACTATCATCTAAAGTTTGAAAGCGTTGCTGAATAGCAACTTGCTTCTCTTCCATTTGTTTTTCTCTTTCTTCATCAAGTTCTGGTGTACAATAATTACAGTTGTCACAATGACGATAATAATGCGTGTACAAACCAGATTTTCCCGAACCAGTGCATGTCCAAGTTAGCATCGAGTCGCAATCAGTACAATATTTCTGACGATCAGTTGAAGCAGATCCACACTGAGCACAATTCCATTCAATTCGTGGAGAAAACATAATTCAAGTGTACTATGTATTTGTTATCGATAGAAAGTGTGTTAATGGAAAGGAAGAACAAAGGAAAGTGAAAAAAATCACAGATAGAACAAGAATGACTTGACTTAAATATAGAATGGATAAAATATATACCGAGCACAAGATGTAACAAATACGATGTGAAGCACATTTAACACAATAAATACAAAGATGCACTTAATAGTTCTCATTTCTAGTGATATATAGATTTCAAATAGTGATAGATCAGTAGCATTATATATGCGGTATAACTGGTAAAAAGAATCAGATTTTGCTAATGCGTAGACGAAGTGGCACAAATAAATGAATGTTGGGGTACCAGTCAAATTGTTTACGCCCATATCTATTCCAGATAAAATACGACGTCGTAATCCTTCTCCACGGTAGACGTCATCGTATTTCGTTGTAAACAGCTCGTATTTTGACGTATACTACAGTATCCATCATCATAAACTGTAGTATACGGCCATTTACCGCTGTAGTAATCATTGTCCTGGGAATATATAGAAAAGAATAACTAAAATGGAAAAGAAAAGATAGATTTCATATATTTTCTCTCTTATACAAACATCAAAGAGAAGCTCTTCACATTCTACGATTGCTACTCTTATTGCATTTGTTAGGTTTGCTACGATCGTAATTTTGATGGCTTTGCTTACTCATATCTTGAGAAAAAAGTGTTATAAATATTGCTCACTTTCAGAGCTGTGATTCGATACTACATACTTACTGTTATTTTTAATGTGTTTTAATGTGTTCGGCTTTTTTTTAATGCGACTACTATTCTAACTTTAAAATATTTTTAAATATCAAATTTTGTTCCGTTTTGTGCGCTCTTTCGAATGTAATGTCGCTCAAAAAAGTCGAACGAAAGCTGAAATTGGTCAATTTTTCGGTTTTTTGGGCCAGGTGTTGGGAAAACTTGGTTTTCTCCCAAGAAAAAGGGCTCATAAGTCAAAAAAGCATTTCGTCACCCAGTTTTTCATGCTGAATCGAATGATGGAACTTTTAACAAAATCTGTTTTTCGCGATTGACTGGTATACTTGATGCCCTCGTGGAACGTCTCTTCAGTTCTCAGCAGAAAAACCGACGAAACCAGAGTAGAAAAGCACTTCGAATATTATAATGGTTCTACAGTAATTTGTGCATTTCATTTGTTAAAAAGAAAAGAAAACAGACGCTTAATTTTTCCTGAGAGTTTCTATGTAGCTTCTTGTACGCTCGTGTAATTTTATTTGTAAAATCTGAAGTATAAACTTTACACTTTTTTGAACACGATGTTCGGACCGTTGTTTGTCTCATTAAAACAGCAATGATAAGTGAAATAGCATGGTAGGACACCTTTTGCCGACAAAGACACAGAAAACTAATATATCCTGATTTACAATCGAATGAACAGACGGTTAAAAAATCTAAATAGATCGAATCTATTGTTCTAAGAAATCATATTACAGTAAAGCATCACGATTCGGTTAGCAAAGAGTTTTAGCAAGAGTTAAAAATCCCATCATTCGATTCAGCATGAAAAACTGGGGTGACGAAATGCTTTTTTGACTTATGAGCCCTTTTTCTTGGGAGAAAACCAAGTTTTCCCAACACCTGGCCCAAAAAACCGAAAAATTGACCAATTTCAGCTTTTTACCTATACAACCGTCAGTTTTCGTTCGACTTTTTTGAACGACATTACGTTCGAAAGAGCGCACAAAACGGAACAAAATTTGATATTTAAAAATATTTTAAAGTTAGAACAGTAGTCGCATTAAAAAAAAGCCGAACACACTAAAACACATTAAAAATAACAGTAAGTGTCTAGTATCAAATCAGGAAAAGGGGTTAAGTTTTCGTTACGAAATACAAATTCTTGAGGGACAAAGATGAAGGTCTCGTGTACAAACCGAAAATAGTTCAGTTAAGAAGTTGAGGTTCCCGTGAAGAAACACGAAATTCTTGACATGAAAATGTGAAGTTCCGGTAAAGAAACAGTTGTAAACAAGAAATTCTTGAGGGATAAGGATCGAGCTGTCGTGAAGAAACATGCATTTCTTCAGATGAGAAGATGAAGTTCCCGTGTAGAAACCGAAACTAGTTCAGAAAACAAGTTGAAGTTCTAGGAAAGAAACAAGCAATTCTTGATAAAAAAATACAAGGTTAACGTGCAGAAATATGAAGTTCTTCAGGAAAATGGGTTAAGTTCTCGCGAAGAACTACGAATTCTTGACAGAAAAAGCGGAAGTTCTTGCAAAGAAACATACCGACGGAAAAATGTTTCAGGAGTGGAAGAGGAAGAGAGAGTTCTTATGAAGAGTTCTTGTGAAAAAACACGAAAGTGTTGACATGAAAATGTGAAGTTCTGGTACACAAGAACTTCACCCTTTTTCACGACGAAGTTCATGATTCTACCCATGAACCACACATTTTCCCGAAAGAATTTCCTCTTTCTTTACAGGAGCTTCCTCTTTGCCCGCCAAGAATTTGTATTTCTTCACGAGGACTTAACACCTTTTCCTGAAGAACTTCATATTTCTGCACGTTAACCTCGTATTTTTTCCTCAAGAATTCCCTGTTAGTTTGCTAGAACTTCAACTTCTTTTCTGAACTTGTTTCCGTTTCTACACGAGAACTTCATGTTTTCATCCGAAGAAATGTAAGAGCCTCACATTTTTCCTTAAAGAATTTCCTTATTCTTTACGAGAACTTTGTATGTTTGAATCTTTGTTTGTCAAGAATTTGTATTTGTTCACGAGAACTTGAACGCTTTTCGAGAAAAAATACGAGGTTTTCGTGTAGAAATATGAAGTTCTTCAGGAAAAGGTGTTAAGCACCCATGTAGAAAGACGATGTTCTTCAGGAAAAGGTTTAAGTTCTCGTGAAGAAACGTGAAATTCTTTCGGGAAAATGTGAAGTTCTTGGGCAGAAATATGAACTTTGTCATGAAAAGGGTGAAGTTCCTGTGAAGAAATAGAAATTCTTGAGGGATAAGGATGGAACTTACGTGAAGTAGGATGCATTTGTTCAGATGAAAAGATGAAGTTCTCGTGTAGAATCTGAAACTAGTTCAGAAAAGAAGTTGAAGTTGTCGTAACGAAACAGGCAGTTCTTGAGAAAAAAATACGAGGTTGTCGTGTAGAAATAGGAAGTTCATGAGGTAAAGGGGTTAAGTTCTCGTGAAGAAATACAAATTCTTGAAGACATGCATTTCAAGAGACATGCATTTCTTCAGATGAAAGGATGAAGTTGTCCTGATGATTCACGAAATTCTTGAGCTAAAAGTATGAAGTTCTCGTAAGAAGACAGTTTAGTCTTGAGGGAGAAATAGGTGGTTCTCGTGTTGAAACATGAAGTTCTTCAGAAAAGTGGGTTAAGTGCTCGTGATGAAATACTAGTTCTTGACGGATATAGAGGAAGTTCTCGTGTGCAAACCGAAAGTAGTTCAGGAAAGTTCTCGTGTAGAAAGACAAAATTGTTGAGAAAAAGAGATGAAGGGCGGATGAAGAAGCATGAAATGATTTTGATGAAAATAAAGTTCAATAATAATATAGTTTTCATGAAGAAACACCAAGTTGTTCGAAAAAAATACGAAGTTTTCGTGAAGTAGCCCGAAATTCTTGAGGGAAAAATGTGAGGTACTTGTGTAGACACATCAACTTCTTTCGGAAAGGGGGTGAAGTAGTGTTGAAGAAACTCAAACGTCTTGGGCTGGATAGGAGATTGAGTTCACCTGGAAACCTAGTGTACGTATAGAGACTTCAAGTATTCTTTCTCATGCGTTATTATTTATGAACTGTCTCAGGTCGGGGCCGCCGGCCCTCTAGTCAAGAGCTTATAGTCTCCCGCAGTTTAGGAGATGGAGATTTGAATTGTGCCGCATCAGGTTCGCCGCATGATGGCGCATAAAGTTACATATGCTTTCTCCCGAGATTCTTTTTCTTTCAAAAGTTATCAGAGAAACACTAGAGAGGAGGAAGTTTTGCACCTAATCCTTCAGCTCGTCTTTGCCACGACGACACGGTTTTGACTCAAGAAGGCTGAAACTTTGAGTTTATGTACAGAAAGGGGTGCTGCACCCAACTCACGCGCTTTCGAGTGAGTCGATACGCAGGTTCATGATATGAAGTTTCTCGAAATCCAACTGATTGATGATTTCTATTCTCGGATATGTGCCTGAAGAGAAGCGTGAGCATTTACCATCCAATTAGAGATCGCCACAGAGTCGTTGCGGATAAATGTGCCCACTTTTGATATTTTCTTGAGAAAATCAACAATAACTATGTGATGGAAAGTCGCGACGATTCGTTCTATGTGGCGGATTAATTTACTGTATCAGAACTCAGTCCCAGCGGTAAATCAACGAAAAAAAATCGTTCCGGAAAAACTAATTGAAAAGTCGACAGTAACTCAGAAAAAAGCGAAAACGCTGCAATCGAATAAGCCATCAGCAGCCACCACATCAGCTTTATTGCCAGGACCTGAATATCAACACAATAATGATGACCGTGATGTGCTTATGCCGATTGATCTCGACAACTCGGCGTTATCGGCCACCGCAAAGTCGTCGATCAAAAAGAAAAAAGAATAGCAACATTCGATGATCCAATCGATGCCTCGTCCATGATCGTGGAAGACGATGAGGATAATGAAAATGATTTTTACATGGAAAAAATCAGCCAGTGATCTGCGAAAGTCAGTCAACAAGCAGAAATAATCAAGGAACGAGATGCAGGCATCAAGCGACCAAAGTCAACTACAAGCGGTGAGTATGTTTTAGCTGTTCATTTCCCGAAATTCTGTGAATCTCGTTTAGAAATGCCTGCTGATCAAGTTGCTCGAGATTACATTTTGTACTTCGCCGAAAAAGTCCGACAACAAACAACAGCAGACAAGTACAATGGAAATCTCGCAGCCGATGGCAAACATCTAGGATTAAGTCTCGAACAATTCAATACAGTGTTGAAAATGAAAGGCGGCATTACTCGAGAGTTATTCAAAAACGTTGTGTCAGAACATCGACGACAGAATGATCATTGGAACAAATTGCCAAACGACGCTCTATTGAAAGAAAAAAATGCTCAGTGGTAAGACAACAAGGATCTCGTTAATTTTGACTATATGGTATGCCTATCTTATCTGTTCAGATTTCTGGGAGCGCTACTATGATCCACTGAAAGTCGATGCAAAAAGAATTCAGACAAGTCTCGTCGGATGTCTTCGAAAACAACGTAGTACGCAAAAAAAAAGCAGCATCAACAAGCGAATACACGCGACGCTAATGATGAAAATGATGCTGATAATGTTGAACAGATGTACCTGCTACAATTTGCTTGGACTGCACATTTCCCTACCAGGAGGCAAATGTGCACGACAATTTTTCTCGGGGCTTCTTGTAGAAAATCTCGCGTTCAAACCCATCTGGGACCCTTGTTTTAAGTTTGGTGTGGGATTCTACAGAAATATTTGGACTAATCGATGACGAAAGAATTTCGGAAATCGGCCAAGAAACAGGCTCACAAATTAGGATTTACTGATCCCATTCAAAACGGCTGAGATTGCACATTTACCCGCCGCATTTTGCTTGTTGAGCATATTTTCCTACAGGCAAGTAAACATACAATTTTTTCGGAGCTCTCGAAAACACCGTTGCAGAAGATGATCCCGATAAGATTTTGAACATCGGAACAGACAAACATGTAGAAAAACGTTTCCTCTACTCCGAGGTGATGGAAATTTTCTCGTCCGTCAAGAAATGACATAGTTATTCTTGATTTTCTCAAGAAAATATCAAAAGTGGGCACATTTATCCGCAACGACTCTGTGGCGATCTCTAATTGGATGGTAAATGCTCACGCTTCTCTTCAGGCACATATCCGAGAATAGAAATCATCAATCAGTTGGATTTCGAGAATCTTCATATCATACGCAACCATGCGGATGTTCTATGTCGGGAACTTGCCTATGCATCAAGCTATCTTGTGAAAGCTTATGAAATTGTTGTGCGCACACTATTGAAACAAACACTATTTGATAACACCGACGTTATGCGGAATCCATACCGCATTGAACTAATGAAATCAGATACGGATGCTGGCTTGTATCGCATGCAACTGCACTATTGTCCCAAAATATGGTTTGACCTCGAAAACTTTGGTCTCGATCTCCAAAACTGAGGGAGTCTATAAGCTTTTGACTAGAGGGCCGGCGGCCCGGACCTGCGACAGTTCATAAATCCAGATTTTGGTATCGTTCTTTACAAAACACGTTGCTAGAATCGGTTTTCAATGAGGAATCAAACGCCGTAACATTCAAGGGATTATCGCCAAAAGTGAAAAAACCACAGGTTTTTGCTGAAAACTTCGGGTTTTAGACCTTTTCGGTACTTCGCGGATCTGAAAGGGAAGGAAAGAAATTTTCGCGATTCTGAGGACACCACTGAACACGACACTTTTCTCTATCAGACTCGGTGTGTTTCACAAAATCTGAGACAGTGCTCAAAGTATGAAGTACGCGCGCCTTACTTTCCGATACGTTTTCGGTAGCATTAGATTGCCGTCTGTGCTGTCGAGTTGTGGGAAATAGATTAGTATTGGTAGGTGGTCACTACATGTGTGGGATAGGGATCGCGAATATGTGTCATCGGCTGCTTCCGATGAGATGACAAAATCGATAGTCGTGTTTGAACTTAAGGACGTTTTCATGCCGACATTGTGCACGGCGAGACAGGTTTCGTCGAACCAGTCAGTTAGTTCTTGATCTACTTTGTGGACAGTCCCAGTGTAGATGTTTAGTACGGAAATCGCTGGCTATCATGACATGTTTGGAGTATCGCATCAATGTAGACATGGCCAAGAGTGGAAGTGGTTTGGTAGGCGGTGAATATACGCGCGCCACTACGAACGACTGACTATTGAGGTGGACTAATGCAGCGCATTGGCTTGGTTGGTCGATGTACAGGAGTGCACAAGAGATTAAAATAGTATTTTATTGAAAGAAAAAAAGGCATAATAAATTTTGTGGAACGTTAGAAAAACAAAACGCTTCTCGAATGGTAATGGGAAATTATGTCTTTTAATTTTGAGCGATCTCTGCGTAAATCTGAATGAGATCAGCTGAATCTTTCAATTCTTTGAAAGTACCGCCCATTTTTTGATTGATTTCTTCTAAAGTATCCATCTCTGTATCTCCAAGTGCAACAGTCCAAAATTGATAAATTTTTGTTTTCATTGTTAATAGTGTTTGTAGTTGTCTATCAGGACACTCTGCTTGTCCATCACTCATAAATATAATTATAAAATCTAAATTTGTAATAGAATTGGACATCGGGTTTTGAGGTTGTGCCTTTTGCACGGTTTGGACTACCAAATCAAACGCATTACTAAAATTGGTCATACCAGATGTAAATTGTATTTGGTTCACATCGATGGTTTTTATGTCAGTATTAAAATAAGCATACTTTGCATTATCAGCAAATACAATAATTGTCATACGATCTGCTACACTGGAATCAATACGAATATTAATAAACTCTTTAACACCGTCAAGTAAATTCTTCCATGGCTGTCCACTCATTGAACCTGATGCATCAAGTAATAATATATAATGAAATGGCTTTGGGGCAGCTTGTGGAGTGTTCTTTGTGACAAATTTCATGCCATACCTTTTACATAAGTGTTGACCAATTGCACTCCAAACGTTCAGAAATTTACCATGTAATTTCCATAATTCATCTGGTGTGATTGAATTACCGAAATCCCAATCGGAATGATCGTTCTTAAATTCCGACCATTTTTTCTTTGTACCTCGAACTATAATTGGTTTATCATCTTCCATTTGTTCACATTGAAATAATGACGCTTCATTAGAGATTTCAAACTTAGTTCCAGCCATTGCCCGCAATTGGTGACCAGTTTGACAAGCATGACGATTATTTTCATCGCCTAAAGTCATGATAAGAAGATAAACAAGAATGAAAAGAGATAAAAAGACAGAATTCAATATACAGTGGCGGCAAAAATTATTCGTACGATTTTGTTTTAATAATAAATCAACATCACATCGGTATTTCGAGACGTGGAAAACGGTAAAAGAACCGCCATGACCTCTAGTATCTACCCTATAAATATCAAAGCATTTGACTTATACGCGTTAGAGGTATTACCAGATCACTGAAAAAACTTGGCAATTTTTGGCAACAATTATTCGTAGGAGCATTTTCCTGAGAGCTCTGAATCAACCAAATGACCTCCAACCAGCATAGAATCGATCAGGATATGGGTAATCGATCACGCTGAGTCGAGCGGGGATGTTTGTTTTCAGATTCAAAGCGATCTGAAGTCTCTAAATCAATTTTCGAAATGTCCACTATAGCCGCAATATAATGACAAAATGTTGAAATTTCGAAAATTGATTTAGAGACTTCAGATCACTTTGAATCTGAAAACAAACATCCCCGCTCGACTCAGCGTGGTCGATTACCCATATCCCGATCGATTCTATGCTGGTTGGAGATCATTTAGTTGATTCAGAGCTCTCAGGGAAATGCTTGTAGCTTCTGTTTGATAGAAATCCAATAATAGCAATGTGTAAATATCTTCACGGCGTGTAAGTCAACGCTTTGATATTTATAGCATAGATACTAGAGGTCATGGCGGTTCTTTTGCCGTTTTCTGCGTCTCAAAATATCGATGTGATGTTCAGTTATTATTAAAACAGAATCGTACGAATCATTTTTTGTCGTCATTGTAAGTAAAATAACAATTACAAGCAGTATGAGAAGGTTCTCTATGGAAAGACATAATTAAAAACTAGGTTAAGATTTCAGTTGAAGATTTTTTCTTATAAGGGAACCTACTCCAGAGGCGCAAATAGGGTCCAAACATTAGGGGGGGATGTTTGAACGATAGGGCGATTTTTTGGTGTCCGGAAAGGAAAATTTTTAACGAAAACCGGCATTTTATCGTTACCGATGAGCAAAAAACCGCTAAATTTCCAACATTCGGGGGGTTATGTGGATCTTTATCCACATTGTGGATAAAGATCCTAAAATGGTTCGTGCCAATAGGCCTTTCTTCTTGAGTTATGGTCATTTTACTGAATTTTCACCTTATCATTACCCTTGGAGAAACATCACTATTTTTCCACAGTAGCACTAAAAATAGACCATTTTTGAGATATCCCATATCTTCAGAAAGATTCATTCTTTTGAGTTGAGACTTTCAGAATATAACAAGAACCTTGAGTTCTCTTATTGGGGAAATTTTTACGCCTTTGTTGAGACTTTTCTCATAATCCCCTATGATAAGGTGAAAATTCAATAAAATGACCATAACTCAAGAAGAAAGGCCTATTGGCACGAACTATTTTAGGATCTTTATGCACAATGTGGGTCCCACCTATGGACGACATATGAAATCAAACGGAAACTATCAGTTGAGTAGGTCCCTCGTAAGGAATAGTATGTTGCATTAAAAAGCTCATTTTGCTTAATCTCGTGAGAAAAATATGCAAATTGACCAACGTCATGATACCTGGATTGGATTTTATTGCACTATGATCAACATCACAAGGTCTGTCACAACAAGGACATTTCGAAGTGCAACCAGACGCTTTGTCTAATAATTTATAATAAATTTGATCTTTGTCAAATGCTGCAAATGTGGCTGGAGTATTATCATAATCATGTTCAATTTTATGTTGAACATCCATAATACCTTGAAGAAAAACGTGCAAATTTTTTATCGAAGCTAATACCATTCGATTGTTATTAGAATTATCACTATCGCTCATTTCTTTTATTAAATTAGCTAACTGCAGACTTTGTTCTGGTAGTTTTTCAAATAACTTTAAGCCTTTTGGTTTTAATGTATACGTTTTATCAAATACAGTATAAGATGTTCCTTCCTTGATTTTGCTGCCAGATAAATATGTAAATAATAATAAAACCATGCATTGTCCTTTATTTTTTAAATTATCAACTGCAGCTCCTCCTGATGCTTCAAACATATCATCAATATATTGTACAGATGAGCCTTCATGAGCGAGTGACGATTTCATAAATTCAATACAATTAAAAAATTCAACTAAAATATTTCTCCATTGATTTTTTTCATTAGATAATTGTTGATTAACTCTAGCTTCAACTGCTGTCCATAATATTTTAAATTCTTCTTCAATAATATCATTCGGTGCAACAATATAACGGAGTAACCATTTATCATCTGATGCCACAGCTAATAATTTTCCATCACAAATTGTTTGAATGTGTTTTCGATTTAAATTTTTTTGTGTTTCAACGATGCGTGTTATAATTTTTTGTCCATCACGCATTAAACTACATTGAATCGTACTTCGAATCTTATCTGTAAAATTTTCTGCCCCTTCTTTATCACATTCTGCGTCGGGTACAACATAGTAATAAAGTAATTCAATAATGAATCTTTTTCTTTATTCAATATTAAAAGTTGGTGTCTAAAATGATTTTGTTGTTCATTAAAATAAATTTTTGTTAATAGAATCAGAATAGAAACATGCATTAAGGATTTAACTTGTTTTGATAATAATAACTTAAAAACAACTAATTCAAGATTGATTTCATTGATATATGTGTTAATAAATCCTACAATTTTTTGTATAAGATCGATTTCAATTGGTCGACGAATTCTGTTATTTCCATCAACTATTGCTATTGTGCCGTTCATTATTTTATGAAAGAGCTCTGGAATATTTAATATGTTCGACTTGGATTTTGGATCGCTAGTCATTTGTATCAAGATCGTATCACGAATATTCTTTATAAAATCAAATCGTAATGGTATTGGATTGGTACTTGTTTTCCGAGGAGTTTGTAGATCCATGGTGCCTGCGGTATAATAATTGGTCAATGTTTCTTTATATAAATATTTAAAATTGTGAAGAGTTGAGCATGTGTACACAACAGTGGCATCCGATTTTTGCCTAGACCGCTCCAACGCACTGTCCGGTAATTTAGACACGTTGTCTACAAAAAAGTTCTGTATTAAAACGATAACATCTTTCAAATATTGTTTTTTACTCAATTCATGAATGAATTCCAAGTGACTAAGTATGACCTCATGAGATGGTAAAGATTCTTTCTCGAAAATATTATAATTTGCATAAACAAATTTAATAGCTTCTTTTAATCTCTCTTCTGGTTTGATATTATTTTTAATTGATTGAATCTTCTTGTTCCACATACTATCGAATTCTTGTTTTGCTTTTTCCTTAGTCATAGTTTTTCCACTTTTGATGATATCTTCAATCAGGTGACGGAGATCGGCAGAACCATCTCGAACTAGACGTTCCGTTTGTTTTTGATCATGTGCTTGTATCGCTGCTGTGCACCATACATTACAAATTTCTGTTGTTTGTCGTTTTAAAAATTGTCTACATCTCTCTCTAATACGTACAGATGTATTCATACATTTAAAAAGATTTTCTAAGTCATTATCGAAATCATTTTGGTGAACATCAAATTGAGCTTGAAAATTTTTTCGTATTTCATTCTCGGTTAGTTCACATGTTTCTTTAATCAT